CAGTCGGTTAAGCGTCCGACTTCAGCTCAGGTCACGATCTCGCAGTCCGTGAGTTCGAGCCCCGCGTCGGGCTCTGGGCTGATGGCTCGGAGCCTGGAGCTTGCTTCCAATTCTGTGTCTCCCTCTCTCTGCCCCTCCCCCTGTTCATGCTCTGTCTCTCTCTGTCTCAAAAAGAAATAAACGTTAAAAGGGTAAAAACACTGAAATATTTTATCACCGGGATAAAGACCCACTTGTCTTCATGGTCTTTTGTGACATATTTTGACCTAGCTTCCTGCACAGTTTCATTTCTAAGTTTATACTCTTTGGCTGTCGGAGCCCTCCACGTTGAGGCCCCGGCATTTGGGGCTACAGAGAGGATGTCAAAATGAGTAGGCTGCGGGAAACCCCCTGCTCAACCGACCTGGGAGCAGAGAAGGAAGGTCTGTGCCTCCCACCCGCATGCTTCTCTCTTTACTGGTCTCTACTGAATTCACAAATAACAAGAGTCCCTGAGCTGAGACATCTGAATAATGATCTTAAATCTGTTGTTTTTCCACGCCATTTGCTGCACTGAGAGAAGCTAATGAGACACTCCCCATACAAGACCCATTAATGGCGCCTTTCGGCATTTAGGAGTGAACTGTGGGAGGAACAGGCATCTTGGTGGAGGCTCTCATGTGGGTTTTGCAAGTGGTGAGTGAATCCATGGCCTTGATTTTACAAGAGGAGGCAGGAAAGCCTCTTAAGTTTCCTAAGCAAAGCGCACTGCCGTTTGGAATTGGGTCACCTGTCCCGTGCTGTCTTCCTGGGGCTTGACTCGAGGCAGGAAGCCGGGAGGGCTTCATGGAAAGCAAAGATGATTTACTGACACAGAGAACTAGATTCTAGCCCTGGCGGAGTGACCCCAGGCAAGCCTCTCACCTTCTCTGTGCTTTGGGACCCGCGCTGATAGAGGAGAACAAAATCTAACCGTTTTCTGGCTAGGGTAACCCGCGAAAGAGGGTGTGGACAAGAAAAATGTCTCCATGCGTTTACCATCCCCTGCCTCCCATCAGCTTGCCTCTTCGTCTCATAACATGTTATAATTCTGCAGCATTGCAAGGCATCCTGAAGTTTATCTGCTCTAGACAACTTCAGGCTGTTTCTTCAAACTGTGGCTTTCCAAAGGAAATCTAATTCCAAACAAACAAACAGAATGGATAAATGCAGACATGCTGTGGATGAAGTGCAGTTTTCTGGCCCCTCAGAATCACGCCACCACTACAGTGCACGGCCCCTCAACTGGCTCTAAGGAGCTCTGGGGTGCCATAAAGCACAGCTTGACAACCCAACTCCTTCTGTTTTACAGATGAGGAAATTGAAGCCCAGAGAGTCCAACTCCAGGGCTAACCCCCAGCTTTCTCAATCCCCTGTTAAGGGCTTTTCTGGGAAACAAAATGATGGGGCAGCTGTTGGGTGTCTTGTCCCAAGCTCAGGGAAGTGAGATGGACAGAGCCAGCTAGGGTAACTGGGTGTGTGTGAGTTGGTACCTACTTACCAATCATTGAGGGTCCCTTGGTGTAGGGACTGCAGGGGGATCCAGCAGGGTGGAGATCAGACTGTTCCAGAAGACCCCCGTGGCTCTGCTTGGCACGTAACAGCAGGGTGTATTGCAGTTAAGAACAGAGATTCAGGGGCGCTTGGGTGGCGCAGTCGGTTAAGCTGCCCTGTCAGCTTGGTAGGTCACTGACCAGCGTCCGGTGGGTTCGAGCCTCAAGGCTTCCTGGCTGATGCCTCGAGCTGAGCCTGTTTCCTGGAGCCCTGTGTCTCCTCTCTCTCTGCCCCTCCCCGTCTGCTCTGTCTCTCTCTGTCCCACAAATAAATAAACGTTGAAAAAAAAAAAAAAAAAAAGAACAGAGATTCAGGGGGCACCTGGATGACCCAGTCAGTTAAGTGTCCGGCTTCGGCTCAGGACGTGATCTCACAGTTCGTGGGTTTGAGCCCCACATCAGGCTCCATCCTGACTGTGTGGAGCCTTCTTGGGATTCTCTCTCTCTCCGCTTCTTCCCCGCTTGTGCTTTTTCTCTCTCTCAAAATAAAATAATAATAATAATAATAAAAAGAATAGGAACTAGGAACTCAGGACAAACTGCCTGGGTCTGGACCCCAGCTTTCTCCACTTCCCAACTGTGCAACTTGAGTAAATCACTTAACCTCTCTGTGCCTCAGTTTTCCCATTTGGAAAATGGGGACAAGAATAGTGCTCAGCGTATAGTACTACTGGAAGGAGCCCTTAAGAAAATTGATGTGGAGTGCTTATCTCTGTACCTGGCACGTACTAAGTGCTCAGTACACATCGGCTACTGTTATTCTAGGTCATCTGAGACCGTGGACTGGGGGGCTTGCTCCTGGTTACCGCCCCACCCATCATCCTGTAAAAACAATTTCTAGGGAAAACACAGGGAGAGGGGGAAGGGAAGATGAGGGGGAGGAAAGGAGGAGGGTGCTGCCTCTGGCTCTGTGCACCCTGCCTGCCGAAGCAGCTCCGTCCAATCTGGGTCACAGCAGAGGCTCTGGAGCCCGCAGGCTGCTCCTGGCTCTTCCCTGGACAGAGTGGCTCTCTGTTGAATGAAACACAAAGGGAGAAGTTGCTGTTTTTAACACTGCAAATCCGAGCACTTTGAGGGGATGGCAGGAGCGAGGAGGCTTGTGGGGAGAGTCAGCATCAGGTGGCTCCCAGGGTCCTTCTAGAACCTCTGATACCCAAGTTGTATCCCGGTGGTTCTCATGCCCGTGTTGCCCCCAGCGGGAACCCGGTCCTTGGAGGGGTGGGCTGGGTCCAGCTCCCTCCTAGGAATGGGAGCAGGTGTGCTAGGGACGGGGTTGGAGAACAGCCAAGATGAGGAGCAACTGAAACTAAACTTTGAGATGGCAACGAAGACATCCGAGTGAAGACGTCACGTCGACAATTAGCTAAAGGGATCTGGAGCCCAGAAGGCAGTTTTCTCTGGAGGAGGTGATGTGAGATAGTAAGTCTAGAGAAGGTGTTTAATCTGAAGTCAATAGAAGGAGGTGGGAGATCTGGGATATGGGTCTGTGGTGTTCTGAAAACGTATCAGAATTTCATGCACACGTGCCTTTTTCGGGGGAAGGGTCCAAGAGTCCTCATCAGACACCCAAGAGTCCATGACTCAGAGAAGGTCAAGACCATCAGCCTGATACTAGGAGATGCCGTGGTCCCCGGTCCTATGAGGCCCTCATTACTCTGTGTCTGCTTCCAGGCGCCTGGTGGACCGTCTGGAGAACATGAGGAAGAACGTGGCTGGGGACGGGGTGAACCGCTGCATACTGTGTGGAGAACAGCTGGGGATGTTGGGCTCCACCTGTGTGGTGTGTGAGGACTGTAAAAAGGTACTATCATCCTCCTCCTCCCTGCTGCCCCTCTCATCACATGCAGGGGGCTAAGCCTGGGCTCGAGCCTTGGGGGACCCTGGGTCTTGGGGACAGAGCTTGGATTCTGAACGGTAGTTGCCAGAATATGATTCCTTTGGGGATGCTCCCATGCCCAGCTATCTTCTAGGCAACCCTGAACCCTGGTTCCTCTTCTGGAAGATGTTCTGACCCCTCTGTCCCCTTGGAGCTCAGCTCCATCTAGGATGAACATGGGAACCTGAGACAGGATGTAGGCTATGGTTGAGCCTGCAGGTATCCTGGTCGTAGCTTAGCAGGCTATGTGTCAGGCTAAAGAACATGCTGGGCAGGTGTCTACACCTGTGTGAACATGGAAGGTTTACCCAACATCCTCTTACCCTGGCTTAGAAAGCCCCTCTCCAGCCCAGTTAGGGCCATTGGGCTTCTTGAGTATTTAAAGGAGTCTCCCTCCACTCTGCACCCTCTCCTCAAGCTGTCTGCACGTGACAGTTCCAGGACACAGATATACCTGTCCTTGGGTCTGCCTGAATTCCCCGGAAAGGAATTCAGGGGAACATGTGAGCTGGGGACATCCAGAATGTCACTTGGCATCTCCTGCTTGGGGTCCCACTTAGCATTTAGAATGCGGTATTGGGGAAAGTTTATGCCCCAAAACTTGTCTTCTGCAGTCAGCCACATAGTAAAAATTCTGTGATCTATTCAGTTTTCCGTTTTGTCTTGACTGCCAGGAAACTCAGCCAAAAGTATAATGTTCCATCACAGTCATGGCATTTGCACAGGTAACTTCCTTCTCTTCAAGGAGCTGAACCTGCAGCCATAATCTAGGTAATGTCAGATTCATGTGGGAAGGAAGGAAGGAAGGAAGGAAGGAAGGAAGGAAGGAAGGAAGGAAGGAAGAAAAGGGAAGGAGAGAGAGAGAGAGAGAAAGAGAGAAAGAAAAAAAAAAACAAAAGGGAAAGAGAGAAAAAATATGTGGCTTTCCTCTTTAAAAATCATGTCAGTGATCTCCCCCATATGGATGCCAAAAATTCAGACCCCACAAGGACTCTTGGAAAATTCCAGAGAATATACTCATCCAGTGCTGGAGGATGACTCCAGTTCTCATTATTGGAAATCGAAACTCAGATTGGAACTTTAATCCTAGCTGGCCTTGGTCATGAGAGGGAGGTGAGAAATGGGGAGTTCCAGCTCTTTCTATCCACCAAGAGAGAGAGGGGCTCTGTTGCCTCCCAGCCCCTTGGCCCCGATCACTGGCAGCTCGGAGCCTGGCGTATGTGAGTGTGCACTGGGCTATGTTTTGTCCCCAGAACGTCTGCACTAAGTGTGGGGTGGAGACCTCCAATAACCGCCCGCATTCCGTGTGGCTCTGTAAAATCTGCATCGAGCAGAGAGAGGTGAGTGGACCGGTCACCGTCCCTATTTGTCCAATCCCCCCCCCCTCCTCACTGCCAGCCGGGAAGCAGGGTGGCCATTGAGGGCTGGGGAGCCTGGTTAGGTGTAGGTCTTATGGGATTGGTAACAAGGAACCAGCTCAGCTGTGAACACTGGCAGGACTGTTCAGTGAGTGTTTGAATGAAGTTCTTTTCTCATCTCCCGCTTCTGTGACTTGACTCTTCCTCGACGTAGGGAGCTCACCACGTGTAAGAGGTGGCAGGTGCTGTGTGACCTTATACTAGTTCATCACCTTTCTGATCCTCAAATTTCCCCATCCAGGAGATGGGTGTACTCAGGCCCTCTCTACGGAGTGTTTGGGGTTGTTGTGTGAATCAAAGAGGAGTTGTGACAGGCTATGTGGTGTGTCGGTGTGCTGAGTGCAGGGAGTAAAGGTAAAAACTGGAACTCATGAAGGCAGGGCTGATAGTGCATGGTTGCCATGTCTTCATCCTCTCCCTGTCCTCCCCCAGGTGTGGAAGCGTTCTGGAGCGTGGTTCTTCAAGGGATTCCCCAAACAGGTCCTCCCACAGCCTATGCCTATAAGGAAGACCAAGCCCCAGGAGCCTGTCAGTGAGCCTGCTGTCCCTGAGCAGGTCACTCCTGAGCCCAAGCATGCTGCCCGGGCTCCAACCCGAGGTACAACAAAACAGCTTCTCCTTTCAGGACCACGGACAGGTCTTGGCTAACTGGTCTACCTAGAGGATGACCTGACATCATGACTGTGTTTCCACCCAGTTGGTGGACAGCCAGCCTCTGGATTTAGGACCCCTATGTCCACTGCACAACTCACCATGAACCTTTGTCAAGAGGGTAGCATAGCGAGCCCGTGTAGAAAACCGTATGGAGTGTCCTCAAAATTTAAAAATAGAACTACCCTATGATTCAGCAGTGGCGCTACTGGGTATTTACCCAAAGAATACAAAAACACTAATTCAAAGGGATACATTCACCCCTGTGTTTATAGTAGCACTATTTACAATAAGCAAGATATGAAAGCAGCCCAAGTGTCCATAGATTGATGATGGATAAAGAAGATGTGAGATACACACACACACACACACACACACACACACACACACACACACACACAGGGATATTACCCAGCCATAAAAAAGAATGAAATCTTTCCATTTGTAATGACACGGACGGAGCTGGAGAGTATAATGCAGAACTAAATAAGTCAGTCAGAAAAAGACAAATGCCATATGATTTCACTCATATGTGGAGTTTAAGAAACAGAACAAATGAGCAAAGGGAGAGAGAGAGAGAGAGAAACCAAGAAACAGACTCCTAATTATAGAGAACAAACTGATGGTTACCAGAGGAGAGAGGGTGGGGGGATGGGTGAAAGAAGCGATGGGGATTAAGGAGAGCATTTGTCATGACGCACAGTGGGTGTTGTATGGAAGTGTTGACTCACTATCGTACACCTAAAACTAACATGACACTGTATCGTATAGTGTTACACAATAATACTATTGTATAATAGTGGAATTTAAAACGGTTTTTAAAAAGAGGGTAGAACAAGGAAGTCTCCAGCAATGTCAGGCTGCCAAAAGCTTTCGCTGTCATCCCTGATGGAGTGTTTAGAGGTACAACAGAGGTGGGAATTAAAACTAGAAGCTGAGAGACTTCTGTCACCAAAATGCACACTGGAGCCCGAGGGGGATTTGCTGAGAAGGCCTTTCTTGTCCCTGATACTTCTGCTATCAGCCATCAGCATATCTGAAATTGTACTAATTAAAAGTGAAAGTTGAGCAAAAGGGGAATTCATAAAAGAAAAGTACCATGACTGTGGATATTATCCCTATTACCCAAGTATTATGATTAATTAGTAAAATGATGATAAAAGGGAGAGGCAAAAAAAAAGTTAAAAGAAAAGAAGCCACTGCTATCAAAACATATCATAATTGAGTGAGACCATTAGGTCCGACCAGATGAGGCCCCTGTAATAATTTCAGCTAACACAAAATGATAAAATCTGGTCTGAATGACGGTTCTGGAGTTGAGCGCAGGCAGTGTTTCTGAAAGGAAAGTTATAGTTGAAGGTCTCAAAAGTTCAAATGTCCAACTATGCCTCCTGTAAGATGACTTCTCAAGGTACCCAGGGTCGTGCCTGGCACCCACATGGCATTCACGAGATGTTTTCCTCCTGACATGACATGAGCAATTTCTGCTCCTTGGCAGAGAAATACCAAATTCTCAATATACAGCGCATCCCCGAGGAGCCCCCACACTCACCCCCAAGACTTCCTTCTTCCTGGTTAAGCACTATTCCCTGTAGGCTGAGAAGACTACATGGCATAACTGTCAAGATCTGGGACATCTGAGACCAGGAGGACCTGAATCTCATTTCTCTGCTACTTACCAGCTGCGTGAGCTTGGGCAAGTCGCCTGGCCCTCTGAGACTCTTTCCTCACCTATGAAAAGGGCTGAATAACTCACCGGGTTATTTTGAAGGTTACATGAGATACTACATGGGAAGTGCTTTGCACGATGTGGCGCTTTGTAAATGTTGGCCAATGTTATATCACGTTAATCACGTAGACACAGACGCATACGCACATAAATAGTATGAATTAGCTTATCACATAAACTCTGGACAAAGCATTAACTCCAAGACTATGGTCGATGTGACACCCACTCACGTCGCTAGAAAGAAGTAACATCACCAGCGTTGCACAGTGCCACCTAAAAAATTATTGGTAATAACATCCAGTGCTGATGAATGTGGCGGAAATGAATACCCTATAAACCATTGGTAGGACTATAAGTCACCTCCAGCCTACTGGAAAGTATTATGGCAGAATTTATTAAAATTTGAAGTGTATATACCATTTGATCCAGCAATCCCTATCTGGGAATATATTTAACAGCAATAAAAGGACCAATATAGGGGCGCCTGAGTGGCTCAGTCGGTTACGCATCTGAATTTGGCTCAGGTCATGACCTCACTGTTTGTGAGTTCGAGCCCCACGCCCAGCTCTATGCCGACAGCTCTGGGCCTGGAGCCTGCTTCAGATTCTGTGTCTCTTTTTCTCTCTGCCCCTCCCCAGCTTGTGCTCTCTCTCTCTCAAAAACAAATAAATATTTAAAAAGGTTTAAAAGGACCAATATAAAAAGATATATGTGTAAGTATATTTATTGTATCACTTTCTATGTGCCATTTTCTATCGCAGAACCACTGGAGAAACCCAAATGTTCATTAATGGGATTGTCTAATGGATTATGATCTAGCCATACCATGCTATGTTAGGCGTCTTTTATTTTTTTTTATTTATTTTTTTTATTTTTTTTTCAACGTTTTTTATTTATTTTTGGGACAGAGAGAGACAGAGCATGAACGGGGGAGGGGCAGAGAGAGAGGGAGACACAGAATCGGAAACAGGCTCCAGGCTCCGAGCCATCAGCCCAGAGCCCGACGCGGGGCTCAAACTCACGGACCGCGAGATCGTGACCTGGCTGAAGTCGGACGCTTAACCGACTGCGCCACCCAGGCGCCCCGTTAGGCGTCTTTTAGAATCCAATGATGTAAATGTGTATGATAGATTTTGAATTATGCCCATGATAGGAGCTTACAATATTCTTTTAACAAATATTTACTGAATGCCCAACGAGTTCCAGGCTCTGTTCTGTGCCCTAGGAACACAGTGATAAATGGAACAGACAAAATCCTTGTCCTCGCACAGCTAAAATTCTACTGGGGCAAACAGATACTCGACAGAGAGCATATGCAGATATAATAGAATATCAGTGGTGATGACAGCCAGAGGCAAAATGAAGCGGGTGAGGGGGACAGACGTGGCAGGAGGGTCTGTGTTGGATGGAGTGGCCACAGAAGGGCTGTCTACGGAGACGGTGTTTGGAGAGAAGCGTAGAGAGGGCTCATGGAACGTTTGAGAATGTGATGTGCAAAAGGACTTGAGGTTGGAGCATGCTCGGTGCGTGGGTCCTGGGGAAAATCAAATCAACTGAGCACATTCTAGAACAGTTTGTGTGATCATTGACCGAGGATCCCAGTTTGCTCTTTTGAAAGCCTGTGTGTGCTCACATGTGCGTGTGCATGCCAAGGAAATCATGTGAGATTGTAAACGGGAGCTACACCACAGGGGAAGAAAGGAGAAGAGACTTTCAGTTCACTTTTTAAAAGTTCCTAGGGGTGGCGATGGGCCCCTTTGGGTGTTCCTTAAGTGGCAGCTCTCCAGAAACCATAAAACAAGTTCTCTTCATCTCTGTCTCTCTCCAGGTGACACGGAAGACCGGAGGGGCCCAGGTCAGAAGACAGGTAGGTCCTGCCCACCCTGTCTTCTACTTTATCCCATCCCTCTCTTGCCCTTTCTCCATTTAATACATGCTTTTCCCTCCAGGTCCTGACCTGGCCTCTGCCCCCGGGCGAGGAAGCTATGGGCCTCCTGTGCGCAGGGCCTCTGAGGCACGCATGAGCTCATCCAGCCGGGACTCAGAGAGCTGGGACCATGGCCACGGTGGGGCTGCCGCTGACTCCAGCCGGAGCCCAGCTGGTAGGAGACATGGGCAAATCTAGATGGGCTTCCTGGAAGAGGAGAATCAAAAGGAGTTGGGGGGGGGCGGGGAGGACAATGTTTTAATTCATTTATTCGTTCAGTATCTGTTGAGTATCTACTGTGTGCCACGCTCTGTTCTAGATGCTGGTTCTAGTCTATGGTAGAGGAAAGACAGAGCTCAGAAACAATTCTTACCCTGCACATCCATACTTTGGGTTATATCCCTTTCCTGCTCTAACGCCAAATGTAAGGACAATGTGGGTTTTTTGCCCTCCTCCCTGGAAGCCCTAAGGAAAATGCAACGTACTTTTGAGTACAGTAGGGAAGCTTCCCTCTCACAGACCCACCCAAGTTCTTTCTTCTCTTGGCCGGTGTCCTCTGCTGTCCACGAGGATGGGGTAGGTCAGCACGGCCAGGACGCTTCTCATCTCATTGGGTCCCAGCACCTCCAGCTGCACTCAAAGTGGATTTATTTGGCGAGAGTGCATGATGGTGGGAATCCTTGATTCCTGGACTTGGACTTTTGGACCAGGTCCCAGGTTAGATGGGCTGAATATTTAGGTCCCATGTTGACCTCTGGCTTCTCTTCCTGAATAGTGGGTGTATAGCTTAGGCCCTTAGTCCCTCTTCTTCTTGGCAGGAGAGCTGGGCACATACCTTGTGCTTAATCCACTGTGCACACCCCCTAGTGAACCTATGGTTCAGATTCACAGAAAAAGAAGAATTTCTCAGGTCTACAACATCATGGAATATTTGTTGAGTGCTTACCATGTGCCAGACATTGTCCCGAGCTCTTCACATACATCATCTCATTTGATCCTTGTCATACCCCCAAATCCTTTTGCGAAGATTCCTATTATTCCCATTTAACAGATGGAGAAACTGGGCGCAGAAAATTGATGTCGTTTGCCCTAAGTCACACAGCTGTCAATTGGTTCAGATGGAAATGAAACCCGTGTCTGTCTGACATTAAAGCCTGGGCTTCTTGTTTTTCCCCTTCCAGAGGTGAAGTTTTTATTGACGATGCTTTTAAAAAAATCTTTTTTAATGGTGGTAAAAAATATACACTAATATTAAATTTGCCGTCTCAAGTACTTCGAAGTATATAGTTCAGGGGCCCCAAGTACATTCCCATTGTCATGCAACCATCACCACTAACCATCTCCAGAACGATTTCATCATCTCAAACAAACCTTGTACCCATTAAACGCTAATTCCCCATTCCATCTTCCCTCCCAGCCCCTGGAATCCACTGACCACTATGGATCTGCTTATTCTTGACATTTCATATAAATGGAATTACACAGTATGTGGCCTTTTGTGGGTAGACATTTTGTTTATCCATTCATCCGTTGATGGACATTTGGGCTGTTTCCACCTTTTGGCTGTTGTGCATAATGAACATTGGTGTACAAGTATCGATTTGAGTTCCTGCTCTTAATTTTGGGGTGTATATATGTGTGTATATATATATATATATATATATATATATATATATATATATATATATATATATATATATATATATATGTATAGAAGTGGAATAGATAGATCATATGGTAAATTTATGCTTAAATTTTTTAGGAACCACCATACTGTGTTCTACAGTGGGCTCACCATTTTTACAGTCTTACCAGAAATATACAAGGGTTCCAGTTAATCCACGTCTTCACCAACGCTTATATATACATACATGTGTGTCTGTATATGTAGGATATATACGTGTATATATATATATACGTATATATATACGTATATATATAGTATGTGTGTGTAACCATCCTAATGCGTGTGAAGCAATATCTCATGTTTTTGATTTGCATCGCCCTGATGATTCGTGACATTGAGCATCTTTGCATGTGCTCATTGGCTGTTCATATATTTTCTTTGGAGAAATGTCTCTTCCAGTCCTTTGCCCACTTTTCATTTGGGATGTTTGTTTTATTATTGTTGACTTACGGGAGTTCTTTATATATTCTGGATATTAATCCCTTGTCAGATCTATGATCCGCAGATATTTTCTCCCATTCTGTGGGTTGCCTTTTCACCCCATTGATAGGGTCCTTTGATGCACAGAAGTTTTTAATTTCGATGAAGTCCAATTTTTCTCATTTTCTTTTGTTCTCTGCGCTTTGCGTGCCATATTCAAACAGTCGCTCCAAAGCCAATGTCGTGACATTTTCCCTGAATATGCTCTTTTAAGACTTTTGTGGTTTTAGCTTTAGCTCTTACAGTTAGGTCTTTGATCTATTTGTAGCTAACTTTTGTATATTGAAGACTGCGCTTTTAGCCCGTGTATTATGTTGCCTGTTGAGGGAAAAGGCAGTCACACAGTATTCCTGAGCCAGATTTGGATCCCCTGTCCCTCGAGTCAGTGTAATGTCCCTTCGTCTGTGAAACTTGTAGCATCCGCCCTGCTTCACCTTGAGAAGAGTTCATTGCTCCCTCCTCTGAGTCCCCAGAGTTCTGACACACAGCTCTACTCAGTGCTTGTCACCATCTAAAGCGTGTTGTAGCCAGAATCCCTCTCCCTGAGAGAGCAGCAGAAGACAGGCGGTCGGCAGATCCAGGCACCTTAGGTGAGTGTTAAAAACACTGGTTCCTCTGCCGCATTTCAGACCTACGAAATCAGAATTTCTGGGACCGGGATCCAGAAGCTGCACTTCTTAAGCAAACTCTTCATGTGATTTCAGTGAATGCTGAAGTTTGAGAACCATTGTTTGAGAGCCTGAAAAGTCAGATAAAAGAGTTTGGACTTTTTCCCGAGGGTGTCAGGGAGCCGCAGAAGGATCCTGAGCAGAGAAAGGGCCAGTGTCTTGCAATTTTTATATTATCCACACATCTCATAGCTATGGCAATGCAAATCCTACCTAGTGGCACTGAGGTCGGTCAGAGGGGTCTGCTGCTCCAAAACACAGACATGTCTGTGCCACCCTTTTGTGCCATCGGAGGAAGGGATGGTTGCGACCGTTCCTGATCTGTAGCCCAGCTGCCCTTGCTGTGTAAGAAAAGGTTCCGTCATGCCGGGAGCCCTCAGTGACGAGCCTAAGCCCAAGAGGGGGTCCCACCAGGAGCGCTGAGAACAACTTGCCACTCGGGCCCCAGATCCTTGACAAGAATCAGCTGACCTCCGCATCTTCCATTCAGTAATCCCGATGCCTCCCAGGGCCCCTTTCTCTCCAGATCTGGGACCTGGAGTTAATGCCATGGAATAAACCAGAGTTATCCTGACTTTGCTTTATGCTACAGAGGTCGCCTGTGCATCGACGACCTCCGTTTGGGTTGGAAAAACCCAAACTCCAAATCCAAAGGCCACCTTCACTGTGAAGCGTCCCCATCCCCCCAGCCAGAGGTCACCCCTCACCTCCGTCCCCCGTGATGTTACTTCTTTACCTGTATGGCCATTTCAGTTCAATGTCAAGTGCACAAATACCAGATCAAAGACTGTGTGGGGTCAGATCCCAGCTCGACCACTTACCAGCTGGGTGTTCCCATTTTACAGATCGGGGCACTGGGCTTTCCTTTATTATCAAATGGAAATGATAATGGTAATCATTCTTATCTCAGGTTGCTCTAAAGGATTAAGTAAACTAAAACCTCAGATCTCAGAACAGAGCCTGACATGCCGTGAGGGCCGGTGTGCATTATTACTCACGGGATTCCGGAGCCGGGTGAACCTGGTCGGAGGTCCTAGCCACTTCCTAGATACGTGGCCTTGGGCACACTTAACTTCCCTTTTCTTGACCGCAAATGGGGACCGTAACACTACGCATGGCGTCAAGTTGTGAGGGTTCCCTGAGGCGAGGCTCACGGCCTGGCACATTTGAAGCGCTCAGTGGATGTTCACTGTTATCGCTGTTTTATAAACTCATTATTTCAGTGTCTGCCTCCCTCCTCTGACTGGGCCATCTGCTCCTGGAGGAATTAAGGTGATTTTTGTCCATCAGGATGGGCAGTTCGTAGACAATGAACACTTGTTGAATGAGTGAGTGAATGAATGAAGGAATGAACAAGGACCCAGATGAACAAAAGCACAGTGCTACTACAGGACCCGGGGACAAGACAGAGGGACTGGTCAGCCCCCAGCCAGCGGTGGCAAAGCACCTTCTGTCATTAGCATTCAAGCATCTCTCCAGTGACACAGGGCTGAGTTCAGGAAAGGCGGGATCCAGCCCAGAGAAGTGAGAAAGGACTTTCTTCCAGGAATGTCATGCCTTCTGGATGTCAGGACCTGCTGTGTACATTATCCCATTTGATCCTCCAGTAGCTCTGGAGGAGACAGTAGCACCTCATGGTCTCAGGCAGACTCCGGAGACCAAATGCCTGAGTTCAAATCCTGGCTTTGCCATTAACCCGGCAAGAGATGTTAGCCCTCTGTGCCTAGCTTCCCCATTTGTAAAATGGAGGTAAATCAGCGCCCACCTCATGGGGTATAGAGATTAAACAACCTCTTATATGTGAAGTCCCTGGAACATGGTAAGCATTAAATATATGACAACTCATTATTATCAGTAGGTAGAGCTCAGAGATGCAGAGAGGGTGAATGACCATCCTAAAGTCACACAGCTTATACAAGAAACTGGGATGCAGAGCTAGGCCCATGTGAAGATAGAGACCAGATTCAATAATAATAATAATAATATTCGGTGTTTACTCCGTGCCAAGTGCTGTTCTGAGCACGTTGCCTGGATCGCGTCACAGCATCTCCACCACAACCCTAAAAAGTAAGTACTCTTATCCCCATTTCGCAGGCGAGGAGACCGAGGCCCAGAGAGGATAGGTCGCTTGTGCAAGGTCACACAGGTGGAGGTGACATCCTTCCCTTTTCAACACCCGTGTCATTGTTGTGACCTGGTTCAGGGCATCTGAGTGTTGCAAAGAGAGAAGGCACCGGAGGGGGAGGAGAGGGTCTGGAGGAGCAGAGAGCATCGGAGCCTGCACTCAGTTCAAAGCCGGAAGGCATTACCTCGTGCCAGCTGACCAGACCCAAGGTTCCTCCCGTGTCCACTGTGTGTGTGTGTGTGTGTGTGTGTGTGTGACATGACAGGCTGTCTCCTTTCCTTACCCCTGCAGGTTTGCGACGAGCAAACTCAGTCCAGGCCTCCAGACCGGCCCCCGCCTCCGTGCAGAGCCCAGCCCCTCCACAGCCCGGGCAGCCAGGTACCTGCCGCCCCACCCCCACCTGTCACCCAGCTGTGACCCTGGGACCTCCCGTCCTTGCTTGCAGAGCCTGCCGGCTTCGTGCAAAGCCACAGCCACCGCCAAACCCTCAGAATGAGTAATCCTCTGGGCGGGCAGGTGGAGCAGGGGCCGGACAGAAGCAGCCTACCTGCGTGAAGTGCCTCGGCCTCTGCCCCCTTCCCTCCTCGTTGTCGGGTCACTCTCCATCACCGTCCTTACCTCATACATCTGCCTCCTGCTCTCTCATTTCTTCGCATCTTTCCTCAAATTGGTTCGCTTGAAAAATGCAACTGAGAGAACTCGCTATCTCCAAACTCCTCTCTCAAGGGAATGTTGGGGACACATGGTTCCCAGAACAGTAGTGTGAGATTCAGGAAAAATTGGTGGCCAAAGAGACGAGTCATATGGGAAAATCTAAACAAATGCGGATTGCATGAAACAATAGGAGCGATGCCTCATTGGTGCTGTTAACATTTTGCTCCATTTTTTTTAATGTTTATTCATTTCTGAGAGATAGAGACAGAGCGTGATCTTAACTTGATCATCGGCAAAGAAACCTCTTTCCAAATAAGGCCACGTTCCCAGGGACTGGGGGCTAGAACCTCAACATCCTTTGGGGGAATACAATTCAACCCATTGCAGAAGGTAGTTCTAAAAATTAATGTCATGAAAATTAAACAACGCAGTGAGGTTCTCAGTACGCTGGCCTGAGGAAGGTTCTGAGTCTGAGCTCTGTCCCTTTTTTGCTCAGAAGGGAAATTCACAAAAGGTAGAGACAAAGTGGCACCTGAATGAGACATTTCCACAATGGAGTCGGTATTGAAGGGCAGTGGAAACTGACGCGACTCTCTCCCTGTGTGGTTGAATGATCTTTCATGCCCCCTCGGCTCTCCCCCTGCCCCATCCCAGGCTTTGGGAAATGTAGTTGCAAAAATTCTGCTGGACCAGTAATGGCCCTGTAGCAGTGGGGGACTCCGGGTATAAACTTGCCCGTCCCCTCACAAGCAATCCTTACTCCATTCGTCCATCAACCTCATAACAGCCCGTGAAACATGACAAGCAGGTACAGGCATCCTCATTGTGTAGACCCAGGAAGGAAGTATTGGGGCTTGAACCCAGGCCTTTCTGACCCCAGAGTCCCCAGTGGGGCCATTCCTGCAGCCCTGGAGGCTCCTTCTCATCGCCTGCTGCCCCCAGGCCTGTGTCCACACCCCCGACATGAGGGGGGAGAGGGAAGAACAGGGAAATCATGCCACCTGTGCTCCACCCCACTCTCTTTTCCCCATTCAGGGCCTCCAGGAGGCGGCAAAGCCAGCCCTGGGCCAGCAGGACGCTTTCCAGATCACAGACCAGGCAAGTGTTCCCCCTCCTCCCATACCTGTCCAGTGGCCACGCCCTCCCACCTCCTGTGAGAGAGCCCGGGCTGCCAGACCTTCCCCAGCTGTGCCCAGAGACCCATCGGATGAGCTCTAAGGGACCCCCTGATTCCAAAACTCTAGATACTCCTTACCAAGATTAAATAGAAAAGGACAGAGCATACAGTGGTTAAGAGCACGGACTAACCTGAATTCAAATCCCGGCTCCTTCACTTCCCAGCTACGTGACCCTGGGCAAGTCACTTAACTTCCTTCCCTGGGCCTCAATATCCTTATCTCTAAAATGGGAGGGATGCCTGGGTGGCTTAGTGGGTTAAGTGCCCGACTTCAGCTCAGGTCATGATCTCATGGTTCGTGGGTTCGAGCCCCGCATCAGGCTCTGTGCTGACAGCTCAGAGCCTGGAGCCTGCTTCAGATTCTGTGGCTCCCTCTCTCTCTGCCCCTCCCCTGCTCGCTCTGTCTCTTTCTCTTTCTCTTTCTCTCTCTTAAAAACAGATAGAGAGTTGGGGCGCCTGGGTGGCTCAGTCGGTTGAGCGTCCAACTTCGGCTCAGGTCATGATCTCATGGTTCATGGGTTCGAGCCCCGCGTCAGGCTCTGTGCTGACATCTCAGAGCCTGGAGCCTGCTTCGGATTCTGTGTCTCCCTCTCTCTCTCTGCCCCTCCCCCCCCCCGTCTCTTTCCCTTTCGAAAATAAGTAAACAAAAAATAAAATAAAATGGGAATAATACAAGGATTTACCTCACAGAATTGATGGGAGGATTAGACAAACGAATACACATAAAACTCTAGCACGTGGCCTCGAGTGGATTAAGGTCATGCTAAGTGACCGTGATTCTTGCATATGATGTTATGCATCATCTTCGGTTACCATGGCTACAGCTTAATCATTGCTTCCTAACTCACCAGGTACTGTGTTAAGTAGTATACATGTAGTAGGTTATATATTTTTGTAAGTTTATTTATTTATTTTGAAAGAGAGAGCGTGCATGCCTGAGCAAGGAAGGGGAAGAGAGGGAGAGAGAGAGAGAAGGCTCCATTCTCTCAGTGAAGAGCCCGATGCAGGACATGATCTCACGAGCTGTGAGATCATGACCTGAGCCACCCAGGTGCCCCTATCATGTAGTAGATAATTTTTAAAATATTAGCCGATACTCTTTGAGTGCCTTCAGTGTCATAATTCCCACTTTACAGACGAGGAAACTGAGGCTCAGAGACTTTAAGTAACTTGCCCCAGGTCACACAGCGGAGATTCAAACCCAGGCTGTCTGGCTGCAGAACCACACCGCTGATCAGTGCCCCCCTGAGGTCTGTTCTGCCCACGTCTGAATCAGTTCCTGGGACTTGTTATGAGACATAGACTCCCGGGCCCCATTGCACTGCCTACTCAGTCTGGGTGGGGCCCAGGAACCTGCATTTTTGCAAGCTTCCCTAGGTGGTTTTGACAAAGGCAACATTCTGAGAATTGGTGAATGACATCATGAGCCCCCCCCCCGCCCCATCCCCCTCGACTGGATATGGTGATCCTCCGTGGCCGGGCCAGGGTAGTTCTGGTGCAAGGCTTGCCAAGCTCCCGGTATACAGTAGGCACTCATCACTAACGGT